TGGATGGATGGATGGATGGATGGATGGATGGATGGATGGATGGATGGAAGGAAGAATGGGAGAATGGAAGAATGGAAGGAAGGTGGATAGATGGATGAATGAGTGGACAGATGGAAGGATGGATGGAGGGATGGGTGGGTGGATAGAGGGAAGAGCGTATACATGGGTGGATGGATGGATAGGTGATGGATATTGCTTTGCTTGCAAGGTAACTGAAGCACTCTTTGAAAATGGTCTGTGGGCAAGTTTCCCATCCCCATGAAGGTGGGGAAGCACTGTAGGCCACACGGAGAGGAAAACATGGAGGGGGAAACTCTGGGGAGTGTATTAGCTTTTGGGTCTGGAAGTACTTACGTTTCTCCTCCATCCTGCTCACTGCTTTCCCCAGCTTTGCCAGGAAGTTGTCTTTTTGAGACTTTTTGGTGTTCCATCAAACTTAGTTGAAGTTGCCATAAAAACAAAAAACCCAAAGCCCATTGGAGAGGGCAGAGACAAACAATTTCATACAGCACACACGTGTGAGTGCCTGCCCTGCAATCATATTAATCTTGCTTCCTTAGGGAAAGAGCCTAAAAATAACCTGAATTTGATAATGCAGTTGGAAGGCTGTCTTTGGGGAATGACTGGGAGGCTCCTCACTGAAAATCCTCTGCCTGCAATACTTGGCAAGTTGGCATTGGTGTTGTTGAGGTCCGGAGTGGAAATGGAAAAACTCAGCTTTGCCCTAATGCTCAGTTCATGGCTCCAGGCATGCAGCAAACTAGTGAAGGTGTTTTTTTGCCTGTTGTCTGTGCCAATACATCCTGGAAGATGTATTGTATACTAAGTTCAGAAGGCTGAATATTAGATGCCTCTTTCCTCTCCAGTTGGTGTTCAGATGCATTAGGCTCATTTTGCCAACAGGGAAGCACTGCTGCCTTCAAAAGGCCATCCAAGTGCAAACACACCACGTCCCTGTAGTGCTTTACCAAAACTCAAGTTGGTGCATATATTTTCATGAACTGACATGGGAAAGCATCCAGGCCTCTGATGACGTTTCTTGAGCAGTGTGAAGCATGAGCTCTGGAGGAATGGAAGGTGGTTGGGACCGTAGAAGCAATGCAGAAGAAACCACCAAGAGCTTTCATAAACCTTACAGAATGAATAAAACAGAATTTGGGTCCCTCTCTGACTTCCTAAAGACTTTTATCAACTGCAGCAGCGGAACATGATTCATCCACATCCCAAGAGAAGGAAAGAATGGGCTTAATTTGTAACTGTTTGCATCCACACTGTTATTTACTGAAAATGTGGTTTGATGATTGCAAATAAAGCACTGGCATAGCTTTCTGGCTGCTATTTTCAGCTCTTCATGTTCTCTGAGCTTGGACATAATTTGTTTTGCCTTGCAGGGCCATGACCTCCTCATTTGCAGACTGGGGGGCCTTGCTCTCTGCAGTTACTGTTAGCATTGCTAAACCCATTGTGCTACCCCGAAGCCCTTTGGAAAGTCTTTAAGGGTGTATTTTAAGGACTGAAAGGACTATAAACTGAAAACAAGGCAAGTGTTTTCCCATTTTCTGCTATTTTTCTCAGCTAAGAAGGCAAAAGGTAAAAAAAAAAATCAGCTACAAGCCCTGGTCTTGTGCTACATCATGTTGAGGGATGCTGTCAGAGAACTGATGGTGCTACATCTGCTCAATCAGTTTCTTATCTAGAGACATCAGGGAGAAAACACTATTTGAGTGACTGATACTTGTTGGAGGAAAAGTCCCATATTCCATGTACGTCAGAAATGCCTGGCTGATTGCACACAGGTTCAAATTCCATCCTGCCGCTGTTACAGTTCACAAATGAAGGCTGAGAATAGGGATCTTCTCTCTTTTTCATCCCTGCAGTATTTCTCGCAGCTTTCCTCTTGCTGATCCCACTTTACAGGCTGATAGAATCCCACTGCAGGATTTCCAAGTGTCAGTGGGAATAGCAGAGGGTCACGGGCGGACAAGAGGAGGATGCTTTCCCATCCTTAGCTGCCCACAAATCAGCATAAACCCACTGGCATCCCAGGGACAGAGCCCTGGCTCTCCTTCCCTCTCCTCCAGGAGCCATGCAGGTCTGCAGGGAGGCACAGACCTGCACACACATGAAGTTAACTGGAAGTGACCACCCCTGGAAGAAGAAGCCCGGAACTTCATCTATTGCCAGCTTCTATAAAAAGTGGTTAATCTGCTTCTGCTCGGCCAGGAGCTCAGGTGGCTTTGCAGCTCTGGGGACAGAGGGCAGGCAGCCACATACATCTGACCCCAGCTGTCATGGTTCTGTCTGCCATGGCTACTAGACTTCAGTCTGGCATTTCAATAATTTACTTATACATCTTATCTTTCCCATTTTTAGCAGCATCTGCCAACTTGTGCTACAGTTTTGTCCTTTCCATGACAGATCGGTTTGGACAAGGAAGGCGAAAGGCTGAGCTTAATGGTGCACTTTAATTGGCTTTTCATTATGAAGGCTCAAATGTCTTTGTGGCAAAGCACAGTTAGGAATCAGAAGCAGATGGGGATCAAGCTGCAAACTCCTCCTGAGATGTGGGAGTTGCTGAAGATGTAAGTTTTTGTTTGGTGTCATCACTGCAGGAGGGGCTAAGATCATCTCCGGTGCTGATGAAATCAACATCATCATCATCCGTGACTCCAGAGGTGATGGAAATACAAAATTGCAGCTGTGTTCCCATCCTGGTGTGGTATTTGTTAGCAGTGGAAGAATGTGCATAGCACTGATCTCATTTCCCCATCTGGAGTGAGGAGCTGGTGGCCACTTGGGAACTGCTCAGCCCTAAAGCAGAGATGTCTCATGCTGCCTTTTAGAATCATAGCATCATTAAGGTTGGAAAAGACCTCTAAGATCATGTAGTCCATCTGCCACCAATACTGCCCATGAAACTATGTTTCTAAATGCCACATCTCTACAGTTCTTGAACACCTCCAGGAACAGTGTCTCCACCACCTCCCAGTGTCCAACCACTCTTTCAGAGAAGTTTTTGATGACATCCAACCTTTTGTTCATGACCTCTTTCAGACTGGCAAATTAAAACCATACTATAGGACTGCCACTGAGCAAAACCCTAGGGAAGAATAACATGGGAACTAGGAAGGTTGGGAATATTTCACCATACTTTCGGTGCTCAGAGGTTGTAGCCGGAGGGAGAGAAGGTTAGGAATAGCTTGATCAGACTAGAAACATCTTCTGGAAAGCTGCAGAGCACCTCTGAACATGGGGTCACTCTCATATAGGCACTTGGGTACTCTTTGCAAAGCAAACATCCTGGCACAGCGTTTCTAGGGAGCAGATCACTTACACAATGGGCTGGAAACAACCTGAGGATATAAATCTTTCCCCACACACTCAGATTTTCATTCACAAGGGATATATTTAGGTGTTATATGGTAAGACCCAAGCTTGCATCATGCAAAAGAAAGATTGATAAGATGAGAAGGACCTGAAGTCTCAACCAAGGTAGATGGCAGGCGGGTTGCAAGAGGAACCTATGTGAGTCCTGCTGCAGACAGTCTGTTCCTTGGGCTCTGCCAACACAGTGCCCTGGGGTGCAGATGCCATCTGGCTCTGTACATGCCTGTTCTCAAGCCAGGCTTTCTGCAAACCTTGCTGGCAGATTGCTTGCTGCATCTCAGCTTGGGGCTGGGACTGCGTGAAGGTGGAGGGGTATGGGGAAAACAAGGCATGCCAGCCCCACCAGCTTCTGTATTAATTTTAAAGATGAGAAAAAGAAAAAAAATCCTGTGGACACCTCACAAATCACCAAATAGCAAGGGGAACACATGGCCTTGCAAAGGCACATCTGTGATTGCAGAGTTTCTGCCCATGGTCAAATTTGTGATGGGTGTGAAGATGAACTTCAGCTTTTCTTCCTCTTTTGATCTGTGGTTTGACTGTTTCATTTTGACTGTTTCAAGGCCAGGTTGGATGGAGCCCTGGGCAGACTGATCTGGTGTGTGGCAACCAGCCCATGGCAGTGCGTTCGAACTAGATGATCTTTAAGGCACCTTCCAACCCAAGCCATTCTATGATTCTATGATTTTCGTGTTGTGTCCACAGG